ATTCATTTCCTGCAAGCAGGTACGTCGTACGCAGTTTCGCCAACTGCAAATTACGTAACGAAGTTACATAGATGAACAAATTAGTCAATGATAATCTTTTCAGCTATGTAGTGTACGTATGTACTGTACGTTCATACGTATAAATAAGGACCAGAATCCTTTAAACCTTATTAATGTGCTTATGATCAAATAACAGCAGACTATTTTTTCAAGATGAATGAAAATTATGATTTTTTTTTAAGAAGTAAGATACATTTGTATATTTTGCAACTTAAACTATATTAACATATTTATTTTAATTTTTAGTTGGCGTGGACGGTGAAAAACGTGCTGGCAAATCTTGTCTTATCAAAAAATTTGCCCATGATGATTTTCATAAGGGTGAATATAAAGAAACTTTGCGTGCGTATGTCACAACCACGCACATTCAGTTAGAGAATTACACTATTAAAGTAGAATTCTTGGAAACTGGTACTGTATTGACAAATTATCCTTATAATTAGTATTTTACCATTAGTTGGAAATCTAGCATTAATAACTATTAATTATTTGAATTTCTTTTCTCTTTTTTATCACTTCGTAGGATGGGATCTCAGACCAAATAAAAAGTGAGTTCTTATGATTCGAATTATAATTGCAATGCATTATGCCTTTTTATGTGATATAATTTTTATTTATTATGTAAATATTACAGTTATTATAGTTACATTGATGGTGCTGTGCTTGTTTACGATATTTCTCAATCTGACAATAAAACGAAAGTAAAAAAACTGTTATCAGATGAAGATAATAGCTACATTAATAGTAAATTTCCTATTATGATTATTGCCAACAAATATGATAAATATGAGAATAAAAATAATAGTCTTATAGAAGAAAAAAATTACTTTGGTAATCAGCGTCAATAATTTGATATCAAGTTATTGTGAGTTTCAGTTAATATCTTAAATATTTTAGGAGATGAATTTCTATTTAATACAACTTCATATGAAGAGAAAACTAGTGCTAGTCTCAATAAAATATTAAAAGGTATTTCAGATTATTAATTCAAGAATAGTAAATTCATTAGTAACATTTTGTTTCTCAATTTAGATTGCATATCTAGACTTTCTAATTTTAAAGGCAAATTTGAAAAATCAAGTATTAATTGTTTTTTTTAGTATTAACATTCTTAATACATGCCCTTGTTTTCATTATTTAGAAACCAATGATCTGAGCCAATTGATCCCTCCAAGTAACCAATTTAAGTCCATGATGGAACATGCAACACAACTCTATTTGTGTGAGATTCCAAAAATTATTTATGATAGACAACAATTAGAAGTCTTGTGTGATGGAATAAAGGGAATAAAATCATTTTTATCATTAGTACGTACTGTATTTATACGTGAATATTAGTTTCTGCTATTCATAAATGCATGAAAACATTCTCTTATTAATTGAATAAATTACTAAATTTAGAAAGTGAGTATAAACTTTGATAATATTCATCTGTAAAATCAGGATTTTATAATAAATATAAAACGTATTAATCATCAACGCATCTACGTTCATAAATTCTTAGAAAGTGAGCATAATGTTTAAAATGTTTGAAATTTACTATTATTTTAATTAATAAATGTTCAATTATAGATCGTGAGTATAAATTTCAAATAACATGGTGAACAGACCATTGATCTAATTAAATAAATAAATTACAGGACGTGAGTATCACTCATATTACATATTACTAAAAAAGAATTTCTTAATAAATTATAATTAATATTCTAATATATTATAGTTGGTGAGTATACATATATAATATCTCTTTAAGAGTTATGTGCGTTATTGTGTACCCACTTCATAGGCAGAAGTTTGTCTGATTGGCTAATAAATTCAATTTAATTTTACATTGTTTATGCAGTTTAGAGTACTTTTTAAAAAAAACGAAAACTAATCATAATGAAATAAAAAAAACTGTATAGGTTTCATTAGAGCTGTAGGACACCATAGCCTAAAATAAAATCTAATTCTCGTCTGTTAAAAAAGTTAGTGTAGCAATAACTTCTCAAAATCAACTTATCACTAAGCTGACTAAAATTCTAATGAAACTTCTATATGTTTTTATTATGATTGGTTTTCGTTGTTTTTAAAAGTACTCAAAACTGTATAAATAATGTAAAATTAAATTAAATTTATTACGAACTACTGCCTATGAATACCCACTTGATCAACTAATCAGATCGTAAGATCAGGTGTAACGTGAAATCGAGAAAATCACTTTTGTACTATACGTTCCTGACAGCAAAAAAATATACATATCGATATTTATATATAAAGTGTTATAACTCAAGGACAAAATATTAGGGTTTCAAAATTAATAAATGAATAGTTGTAATTGTACATGGAGTGTATGGTACAGGGGTATTAGTTTTATACTAAAATTTCACAGGAAATTTTTTTGTCAGAAGCAAAAAGGTGGCCTCATAATTGAAATTTTAAGATATCAGTTGGCTTTGATATCGCCCGTTTACATACATTCCGTGAACAAATCGTAGTACATTTTGAAAATAAGTAGGCTTTTTTTTTTTTTAATATCATAAAATAAAACTCACTGATTTTTAATTTTGAGACCCAAGCTGCAATTCGGTTAAAATAGATTTTTATTTGGTTTATAAATTTAAAAAGTTATAACACTTTGATTAAACATCCCCTGCTGTTCCAATTCGAGTACCCGTTTGTGGAACACTATTTATATGTATCTGAAAATTTGTAAATATTATCTATATGATTCATTGGCTAATCAAAATTATTTATATAAAATTGATTAAATACGTAATATTCGAATTTGGCGCTTTTGAAAAAAATTTGATGTCCGGTACTGTGTTTCATAATGTTGCTTATCGTTATTAAATGCCTTTCACGTTCTAATAAAAAATTTAAGATAAACGCATTCTTTGCTAACGCTCTACCATAACTCTATTTTAACGTCAACCCCTACCCGAAACTAACACGCTACTGTTTTTTTCGATTTCACATTACACTGGATCTTATGAAGTGCGTTGCAACGCACTTGCGCAAAAAGATAAATAAAATTTAATTTTTACCAATACTCCAATCGGTTATATAAATTACATAAATAAATTACAGGACGTGAGTATAAATTTCAACGATATTTATTCATTAAATTATAAATTAATCAACCCTCCAATCGATTATATAAATTACATAAATTACAGAACGTGAGTATAAATATCAATGATATTTATTCATTAAATTATGAATTAATCAACCCTCCAATCGATTATATAAATTACACAGTTTGTGGGTATAAATTTCAATGATATTTGTTCATTAAATTATAAATTAATCAACCCTCCAATCGATTATATAAATTACACAGTTTGTGAGTATAAATTTCAATGATATTTGTTCATTAAATTATAAATTAATCAACCCTCCAATCGATTATATAAATTACATAAATTACAGGGCGTGAGTATAAATTTCAATGACATTTGTTCAATAAATTATAAATTAATCAACCCTCTAATCGATTATATAAATTACATAAATTACAGTATGTGAGTATAAATTTCAATGATATTTATTCATTAAATTATAAATTAATTAACCCTTCAATCGATTATATAAATTACATAAATTACAGTTTGTGAGTATAAATTTCAATGATATTTATTCATTAAATTATAAATTAATCAATCCTCCAATCGATTATATAAATTACATAAATTACAGGACGTGAGTATAAATTTCAATGATATTTATTCATTAAATTATAAATTAATCAATATTACAATCGATTATATAAACTACAGTTTTTTGTGAGTACAGACATAAATTATAAATTGCAAACTATTCGATGTTGGGGATGATGCTGAAATCGGATAATGCTGAAATTTTAACTTATCTAATATCTGATATGAAATCTTGAAATTTTGTTGTAATGTTTTTTTGAAGACAAGGATTTAGGTTTAGTTTAATAATAAAAGAGTATATGTGGATTTTGGTAGAATATATATTTTCAATTCGAGACCCAAATTTCAGCATCATTATCCCGACATTTAATTGTGCTGAATTCTAATTACTAAAAAATTACTAGAATGTAAGTATAAATTCCAATAATTTATGAATAAGAATATAAGTGCATTGGATAATTAACAATAATTAATGCATAATAGAAAGTAAGTAAAATGTTCAATTTAATTAATCTGATTAGAATAATGAAATTCAATTAATTATATAAATTTTTAGATCGTAAGTATAGATTTAAATAAAATTTATGATTTTAATTTATAAATAATTGATATTTCGATTAATTATACGAATTATCAGAATGTAAGTGTTTGATACATATTTTATAAATTTAATGGTTGATCTGAGTATAGGTGGGCAAATATGACTATTAAACAATTATAATGCTAATTTAACAAGTTTATGAATAGTTAAGATCCGGATTAGGGTTAGAATTTAAATTAGTTCAAATTAGTTGGGTTTTAAATATTATAATCTTGCAATAATTTATATATGCCCACCTATGCTAAAGAGCTATTTATGTTTATAATGAATTATAAATAACAACTATTCACATCGATTGCTAGGGAGTAAGTATAAAATTTGATTATTATCGACATTAATTATTGCGTTGTGAAAGGTTTGTGAATTTTGCAGGTCATTAAAAATTAATCTGTAGCTTCCTAACGTTACATACCATGATTTTTAACTTTAATGTTACATGAGATTTGATAAATATATAATAAAAAATCGATATGCGTGTGTTTTCTGTTCTTTTATTTCGTATAATGTCAACAATCTCATGTAAATACATAAAAAAATCAGAAATCGTAATTATTTCTTTGTTATAATAATCCGCAAATTTCACAAATCGCAATAAACGACGTCATGATGAATCAAAATCTTTTAATCATTTGCTATTAAGAATTAATTTTAGATAGATGCATAATTAATTATATTAATTTCAGGTCGTAAGTATAAGCTTATTTACTAGTTTGAGTTCATAATAATAAAATTTTTAACCGATTGTATTAAATACAAATTTATAGTTTGTGAGTATAATTACAAATATACTATTAAATTTTCATAATCTATTATATTTAAATAATCTATATGATATATTATATGTTGTCAGAAAGTATGTATTCCAATTATTAAATTAGAATTTCACAATAAGTAAAGGACATTCTAACCGATTATATAATTTTTCAGAAAGTAAATATAAAATTTTATTATTATAAATCGGATTTTGTAATGAATTAATAATGTCCCTTATATATGCAGAACGTGAGTATAAATTTATTCATGACATTTTTAAGATAAGAATTTCATAATAAATTCTGAAAAATTTATTACAGGAAGTGAGTATAAATTTATAATAATCTTTATGTGGGCGTACATGATAAAATTTAATAATTATCAAATTCACAAATTCTAATTAATTACACCATTATACTGTAGAACGTAAGTATGAATTGTAATAGTGCTTATGAATAGAGTAATATTCGCAACTAAAATCTGACGAAACAAGCAATTTATGATTGATAAATAACGAAACCTAAAACTATGGCGATTAATGAAACATTTATTCGTGTCAATAACTGTGAGGACTGAATGCTAAAGCTGAAATTTGAGAACCTATTTAAATATAAGGAAATATACAAAGCATACTTTTTTTATTAGCAATTATGATCATGAATCCAAAAAGAGAGCTAAAGAATTTATCAAAAACTTCAATATTTATATTAAATAGGTCAAATTTCAGTATCGGGCAAGTTTATAAATTATTAATTTTAACATCAGCAATAGAAATTTTACGGACTAGGGACATAGTGAATTAAGTATATGGTTTACAGCCCAATTCTGTAAAAAGTTATGAATGTAGTTTCATCACCGGTCCGCTAAAGTTTTGTACCTACGTGACTTTTTATATAAATTTGTTTACACGGATCAGCCCGAAGAAGTTGTAAAATTAAAAACCCGCAAAAATATGAAAACGGCGGCCTAACGATCCCCTTTTTGAGACATTTTCATTATTTATTAAAAAAAAGTTATTATATTTCGATGTATTTAATGTAGCGATGTTATCCAAACTATTTGGGACGTGCCAAACTATGTGATGAATAGCAACACACGATTTCAGCAATGACGATAAGGAGGTAAATACGTACGTACACATGCGATATTATTAATCCAATAGTCTGAGTAGTTTGGGTAACACCGCTAATTAAATGTCTGTTCAGGCATACAAAAGAAATTTATACAGGCATTTTGCTAAGTGAATAATAGGGTATATTAAGCGAACAAGTTTATGATAATAAAATATGCTTGTGGAAAATTTTTATTATCGAACAAAATTTATTGCTGTGGCTGAAGCTGGAAATTTTGTGGAGCATTTGTTTTTTTGTGATAGGATTTGGTCAATAATAAGAATTTAATAAGGTTTATATTTTTAAATTAATATTTTTAAATAGAAACCTTTTAATTTCCATTTCAGTCATTTCTAGATTTATTAATCATAAACATGTTTACTTAAAAAATAAACATGTGTCTGACAAAATTAGCATTCAAGTAATTAATCTGCATATCTGTTGTAAATTTATAACTCATTTTAAATATTCAACTGTCAATGAAGTCTTTCATTATTTTTTACAAAGTAGAAATTATTTAATAATATAAAGAAGAGCATAGTATAGGGAATTTCTGCACTTGCAGAGAATGCAAGTAACAAATAATGGAAGATTCATATATATACTTACTCATTTGTTAGCTACACTATATTTATTTAATTATTCTCCATCTATTGAGAGTTTTATTAATTGCCAAAGTTTCGTCAGAAGTTGAAATTTCTCATAAAAATCCTGTTGATAAGTATTTTAATAATCTCAATTAAATGCTATTTCTATCAATTTTATCAATTTTATAAATTATAGAAAGTGAGTATAAATATCAAATAATACATATTCAACTAAATCCAAAAATTAACAAACTAATCAGCATAATTAATAATTATAGCATGTAAATATAGCTTTTGAAATATTTATTTATTGAACATGCAGTAAATTATGAATTTGATAAATAATATATAATATCAAATCAATTCTTTGCAATAAATAGGTAATTATAATAACAAAAGAGTATGAAATACCAGGAAATCTTCAAGAACTATTGGAAAAGGCAATAAATGACGTAAAAAAATCACCAGAAATATTGGAACGTCAAGAAATCAAAGAATATTTTCAAGAATATTATCAAAAAATTGATGAACAACTCAAATATTTTAATGATTTTAATGAAAGAGCTTTGAAAATTGATGATCTTAATCAAATAATTGATTTGGAGTTTGAGATTCTTTCCAAATTAGTTACTCTAAAAATCGAAATTTTTTTATTGGTTGAGAAGTTGAAAAATATTGATTTAGAAAACATCGATACAAAGGAAATTGATTTAATAGTCTGTGAAATTGATAAATACTTACCCGAATGGATTGATTGTTGTACTAAAATTACTAACAAATTTAAAAAATTTTATGAAGGTTTTAGTAATTTGATTAGTAAGACAAAAGATAGTCACTATTTTTTTGCAGTTCAAGAAGAAATATTAGATAAAGTTGCTGATAAAATAAGCTTATATGATATGTCTAAAAATATCTCTAAAAAAATTGATAAACCAAAAGGATTTTTTTCAAGCTCTAAAAACAATACTGAAAAGGTAAAGAAGTAATATTTAATTTTTTAATAATAATGCTATACTAATATTTTTATTTTAGATACAAAATGAAATATATTCAAACTTCCTTCGCATAATTGGGTTAAAATTAGTATATGATTTGACTACTGAATTAGAATATGCAACAAGTAAATTGAACCTTTTGGATCCAATGTTTATTCAAAAAATATCAGGTGGTTTTATTTATACTTTAAAAATAAATACAGTATTAAGCTAATTATTAATATTTGGAATTTTATTATATTATAGAATTTTGGCAACAACTTCTTGATGAATTGAAAATAAGTGAAACATTGTTTGAAATATTATTTAAAAGCTTTAAACAAAGTGAATTATATGCCAAAGAATATTATATTGATTATTTGGTAGAAAATTTGACAAATATAGGTTGTTCAGTTAATAATTTTTGCAAACAAATTGTAGTTAAAAAGTCCGTAACAAATCAAATCACTTTTTAAGAGAATTTATAACAAAGGATATTTCAAATATTATTTAAATTAATTATATCAAATATTGTTTAAATCAATTATATTATATCAAATATTATTTAAATACACTATATTTTTATCAGATATATAAATATTATGTATCCCAGTAACAAAAATTAAAAACAGAGAACGTTTCATAACTGCTGCAGTGTCAAAAATACCCTATTCTCAGACCAAATCAAACCATTCCTCGATCGGAGCCTACTATTTAGGGTGTAGCAGTGTATTTAGTGTGTCTTGTGTCAGGTTTCTGCCTAGTAATAACCTCTGTTGCATTAGATTTTATTACTATACCATTTTTTACTGTACGTACGTACATTGTAAAAGGTAAATTGTGCTTGAAATTAATTTTTTAGATATGGTGGGTCAGATGCATATCGATATCGAGAAGATATTAGATTTAGCAAAGTGGGTGGATCTGGCTCATTCTGTATGCTGTGGCTCAAAATGAATCTAACCAAATTTAGTTAGCATGGAGGAAGTTTTCATTCATCAATTTATCACATTTAGCGCATTTATGAATTTATCCGATTTAGCGCATTTGCTGCGAATATATTCATTGTGTTTATAATAGTAGTGCGAAATTATAAAATCCCTACCTTTTCGCCTTCAATAAAGACAGCTTAGCAACAGCTCAGTTAGATTTCAAGATTGTTTGACTCCACTAATTCCCTCCTCCAATAAGTAAAATCTGTAATAACTAGTGATGTGCCATTTATATGATACACGGATTTTTTCGCGTACAGTACGCACAGTGCGAACAGTGCGTATCTAGTGTCGTGCGGCAAATCGGCGAGTCTGTCGCTAATTCCTTCCAATTCTCGTGTAACCTACGGCGGCTAAGTCGAA